ATAGACATTTTACTCCTGATAAGTGTAGGTGCATTGCTACACCTGAAAGCTGGTTTTTTACCAATAATGTAGGGTTTCCGATTCCTTACACTCACTATACGAAACATGGCAGCATTAAGCTGTTGTTTACGCTTCAGTATTAACTATTATTCCGAAAGAGCGTCCTTTCCCGATTGAGCTGACCCATGCAGCAACCATAATATAGCAGAATGATTTAACTACGTTTTCATTCTACCGTGTTTTTGTTTTTAAGTAACAATAATTATAACAAATAATATTATTGATTTCTTAAATTTACGCGAACAATACACACTGAATAAAACTATTTATATGGATTTTGTCGCGTTTAACCCTTAGCTGGTATCGCCTTTTTTGGCAACACAACCAGTATCGTGGGTCATATTTTACCCATACAAAAAATCTGTTGTAGAACGTAGAATTTTTTATTATTTGTATAAAATATGGTTAGTTATGAAATAAAAAAAAAACATTTTTTTTACAAAATTATCTTGGTTTAATTTTAGAATATAAAAAGTTATCATGTTTTACACGCATTTAAACTAATTTTTTGGCACTTTTTGGTAAGTATGAACTTAAAACATAAAAAAAATAGAAATGTAAGAAAAACTTTAACCAAAAGATATTTATGGGACTTTTCATATCTTTATAATAACAAAAAAATAAATTACTTCTGAGATCAACATAAAATAAAAAAATGACAACCAAAATCAAAACGACTTCTTCCAAACTAACAAGATAACATATTTTAGTCTTTATACTTTGTGACAACTGGAATATATAACATTTTGGAAGAAATGTGTCTTACAAATAATATGTAAACATTTAGAACATTTTAGAGAATGATGACTTACGGATCAGAGACGTGGTCCTTCACTGCTGGCCATATGAGGACGCTCAAGGTCGCTCAGCGAGCTATGGAGAGGGCTATGCTCGGAGTTTCTCTGCGTGTTAGACTCAGAAATGAGGATATCCGCAGTAAAACCAGAGTGATCAACATAGCCCAACAGATTAGTAAGCTGAAGTGGCAATGGGCCGGCCATATAGCTCGAAGAACCGATAACCGATGGGGAAGAAAGGTTCTCGAGTGGCAGCCCCGTACCGGTAGGCGTGGTGTGGGGCGACCCCCCACTAGATGGAGTGACGACCTGGTCAGACATGCAGGAAGTCGATGGATGCAGGTGGCTCAGGACCGTGCTTTGTGGCGTTACTTGGGGGAGGCCTATGTTCAGCAGTGGACTTGTGAAGGGCTGTAATAATGATGATGATGATGAGAGAATGTTTTCGGTCATTTTTCCAATAGCATGGGTAGCATCTGGCCCTTTTCCGATTTGAAATTGAAGCTGCAGAAGAGGTCGATGCAACTGGTTCTTCAAGCTGGGATTGATTTTCCGGCTCCTTGTGTATTTGCTCCAAAATGTTATCATTCCTCCTCTTTAGATCATTGGAAAAATTAGCATACCCTGTTTTCCGTTGCAATATAAATGGTGTTACCAAGTCTAAACCTATTTTCCTAATATATTTGTTCCTTTTTATGCGTTTTTCAGGATTGGAGGCTTTCCAAAGTACATTTTAGAGTACACATATCCATTAGCTGCAGAAATATTCAATATTGCCCAAAAAATTACACATGGCCATCTCTGAGTTCTTCTTGCTACCGAGTAATTCGCACATTTGGTCTAAAGAATCAACATCGCCTTTGGTACTTTTATAAAATTGAATGAATATACTTATATAAAGTTGCAATCATGATTACACTTTGATTCTTTTTAGGAACAAAGGAGCAAAGAGTTTTATCATTTGTGAAACCAAATAAACTGGAACCTACTGTTACGAGTTTTATGCGGTAAGAATTCTGGAGGGATTTCGCGTTTATTTTTACGCAATGTTCCGACGTATGTCAAGCCCACTTCTTTCAGTTTATCAACTAGTTCGATCGAGGAAAACCAGTTGTCTGCCGTGATATTTCTGTTTGAATTCTTCAAAGGTCCGACTAATTCCAAAACTGTGCGTGTAGGTATAGATACATCAGTTCTTTTTGATTCTGTTTTACCAGTATACTCTATACAAGCATTGTACAAATAATGAGTTTTAGAATCGCAAAGGCATAAAATTTTTATCCCGTTTTCGCAGGTTTTGATTTCATGTATACTCTAAATAAGCATCTTCCTCTAAACGGACACAACATCTCATCTACAGTGATATATTCAGAGCGACTGTAGTTTTTTTTGGCAGTTCTGTATAAACATATTGAATACTTCAGATATTAGTGTTACAAATTAGAAAGTATTACAAATTAGTAAATATAAAGAATGCAAAAACAAACATACAGAAAAATATCAAAAATTAAGGGCCAAATCAAATGTCAAACATCCGAATCAATGCCAGAACCAAAAGCAACCATTGACAAACAAAGATCATAGATTAATCGCGTTCTATAATCTGTCAAAACAAACACTGGATGATGCAACTGGAACATTGAAACCGTTCTTCATTTTCCTTAGATAGAGAGGCACAGAGTTTGGTATTATATCTCCTTCTAGCATTAATAAATGTTTACACAAAATAAAAAATAACCAACATTTAGTTGGTTAGTGTTGAACAATCTCTATATCGACATTCATAATTCATTTCCATATTGTATTCCAATTAAGCATATTATTAAGTTACACGAAAAAAAACATTAAAACACGAATGTACTTTCCCTGAAAACTATGGGGTGCATTTTATGCTATAGATGACGAACCTATTTTAAAATTTGACGTTGTTAAATGCATAAATATGGCGCTATTGGCTTCTATTCTCTGTTTGACTTGTCATCAGCGAATGTGATTTAATTGATTTAATTAATATTGCATAACTTTTCGGGTTTTCTAGTGAAAATGGTATTTTCGTGTTGTGTGAAAGGTTGTAAAAGTGAAAGTTACCCTTGATGTGGTTTGTCATTCCATAGGTAAGAAAAATTTATAGAGTATATTGTGATATGTTCACACTTTCGTAGTTTTAATATTGTTTTTAAGTCTGAATACAGCATCTGCTATTTTTCAATTTTGATTATGGATCTCTCCTGTTATTCTCAGATATATATTTTGCTACCGTTTCGTATATTTCAAAGAAAATTATATAGAATGTTTTGTTGGTAAAGTGACCAATAATAAGAATAAAAACAATAACTTTGAATATGAATAATACAATTGACGAAAAAGTGTTACATACATACATAAACCAAAACTCACGCCTTGTTCCCATGGCGGTAGGCAGAGACCACAGAGTGCCAACTGCTACGATCCAAAAGTAATTTTTTTTTTAGTGAGTAGTATAAGATGATCAAGTCATACTTGCGTCATCGGCGGCAGAGTTGCAAATGATGGTTACATTAATGAACTGGGAATTAAAAGAAAGGGGAATGAAAGTGAACGCAAGTAAGACGAAAGTGATGGTTTTTGAAAGAGAAGAAAGCAAAACGGTATGTGAAATAAGAATAGAAGGAGAGTTGATTGAGCAAGTGGATGAGTTTGTGTATTTGGGATGTGTATTTAGCAGGGATGGTAGATATGATAGGGATATAGAACGACGAGTAAATGCAGGGAATAGAGTGAATGGGGCACTACACTCTATTGTGAAGAACCAGAATTTGTCAAAACAGGCACGTATGGTAATTCATAATGCTGTGTTAGTCCCTACTTTAATGTATGGTAGTGAAAGCTGGGTGTGGCAGAAGAAGCACGAAAGTAGAATAAATGCTGTAGAAATGCGGTCTTTAAGGAATATGCTAGGGTGTAATCTGAATGACAGGGTGAGAAATTGCGTGATAAGAGATAAATGTGGTATGCAAGATGATGTTGTGACCAGGATTAAGAATGGAATGCTTCGGTGGTTTGGTCACGTAGAAAGAATGAATGAGGAAAGAGTGACAAAGCAAATTTATATGGCAGATGTGAATGGCCGAGTCGGGAAGGGACGCCCTAGGAAAAAGTTTATCGACCAAATTGGCGATATTTTGAAAATGGGCCACGTTAGAAGTACCCTTAACCGACGAGCATGTATGCGTAGATATATGGATGTAAAGGAGGCGAAAGAGGTATGTCAGGATCGTGCCAAATGGAAGTCCATAGTCTCTGCCTACCCCTCTTTGTGACAGGCGTGAGTGTTTATGTTGTATGTTTATATGTAGTATAAGATGTGTGAGAAGGACCTTGGCCTAATTAAAATGTAATCTAGTCCTGATTTCAATTACCTGCGGCATTATAGATATTATTTTTTTCTAACTTCTATTATTTGATGAAGTCACAGTTAATAAAATGATTTATAATATGAATGTCACGTCTTTCTTTACCTCAATCCCTTCAAGGAAGTTGGGTACTCTCATGTTAAGAAATACGAGAAAATAAGCTGGAGGCATTTATTTTCATAATTATTATTATATATCTATATTTGTTTAAGTTTCCCGCTGAAGGAAGATGCACTGAAAGCATGGCTCAAAGTAGTTCCGGTAAAAGGATCTACTAAATACAAAAAAAGTTTGCTCTAACCATTTCAAAAGTCAGGATTTTGTTATCCAAGGAGCCAGAAAGCGCTTAACAGCCAATGCAGTGCCATCAGTTCCAGTAACGGTATGTATTAATTTTAATATAAATGTCATAATTATAGTAACTACAGTTGAAGCAACAATGTGGCATAGATTAATAAAAAAATGGAAGAACAAAGTTTGAAATTCATTGTACAATATTGTTAACCCGAGCTAAAATTATGATAATTTTTCTTTCTAGTTTTCTTGCATTATCAATCAATTAATTCCATTTTTCTCTCTGCTGGACATAATATGTTATTCCATAACTGCGCTATAAACATAAATAAATAATTAACAACTTCTAGTCCTGGTTAATTGCTTATGTTTCTATTACATTAAATGATATTACTATTCCATTAAATTATACTAATTTAATTCTTGAAGTGTAATTTAACAATTCATATTATTTTAAATGCCCATGGAAACTGTGAAGGTGATCAGTAATATTCAAATAAAACCACCAAACATCATGGCTCACCAAGATGTTCCAGCTAATTCAATGAGAATTGATATTTGTTACGAGTCAGTGCCAAATACATCTTATCAGGAAATCACGTTAAGAAAGCGACCATTATCTGATTTGAGCCCTTCACTCAATATTCCCCAATCAAATAAAAGGAAATGTGTCGCGCATAAGTATGTACAAACATCAAGAGGTAAAGAAAATTAGTCAAATAAAAAGAGAAGTTAAAATTTCTTAAACAAAAATTAAAACGCAGAGATTTGAAGATTACGTCGATGAAAAATCTTCTTAGTGTAGTGAAAAAAAGGACTATGCATTATGAAGATATTGAGAGTATCATTAGAGATCATTTTTGCAATATTTATTCAGAATTTAAACCTAAAAATAAATTTAAGATATCACCAGGTGTAAGATATAGCAAGGAACTTAAGCAGTTTGCTCTAACTCTTAATTACTATTCTCCACAGGCATACAGATTCTTGCGCACATGCATTAATTTGCCACATCCTGCTACAATTCGCAAGATGCTTTCTTCTGCAGAGTGTAATGTCGGTTTCCTTAAGGAAGTTGTTGAATTTTTAAAATTAAATGTCCAAACGAATCCCGCTTTAATTCATGTTGCCCTGATTTTTGACTCAATGGCTATTAAATCGGAGCTCGTGTATGAGAAAAACTCAGATAAAACTTGGGGTTATGTTGATTTGGGTGGAATTGAAAATGTAGATTCCTATGAAGTGGCGAAAGAATCTTTAATTTTTCAAATAGTGTCTTACACAAGTAGGTTCAAATGCTGTATAGGCTACTTTTTAATAAACAAAATAACAGCTACTATCCAGTCGCAGTTAGTTCATACAGCTATAAAAATGTTGCATGATATCAACATAATCGTTCATTCGATAACATGTGATAGTACTGTGGTAAATCTAAGAACATTTGAACAGCTCGGGTGCGTTTTTGATGTTCCTAATATTAAGTCAAATTTTAAACATCCTGATGGAGTAACTGAGGTGCATTGTATATTTGACCCATCTCATATGCTGAAACTTGCTCGAAACACATTAGGTGAATTCCCTATGAAATCTAATTTAGGCATTATATCATTTGAATATATTAAAGCTTTAAATAAATTACAAGAGTCTGAAAGTTTTAGATTTGCGAACAAATTAACAAATACACATGTTAACTTTTGGGGGAATAAAATGAATGTAAAATTAGCTAGTCAGTTGATAAGCGTCTCTGTAGCTGACTCGATTGATTTTTTAAGGGTCAGCGGAAACAAAAAATTTCAAAATAGTGAAGCTACTGTTGATTATATCCGACATTTAGACAAAGCTTTTGATTTGATGAACGGCAAAAATCCAATAGGGAAGGGATTGAAAGCTCCACTAACCTTGAAAAATATAACCTTCTGGGAACCTATTTTTGAAGAAATACGTAATTTCTTGCTTAATTTAACAATTGAGGGTCAAAGTATAATGCAACATCGTAGAAAAACATTCGCTTTAGGTTTTTATGTGAATACGATAAGCTTTTCAAATTTGGCGAAAGATTTACTGACACGTACCATAGATCCTATGAAATATTTTTTAACTTATAAGTGCTCACAAGATCATATTGAGATGTTATTTTCCTGCATAAGGGCCCGAGGTGGTGGCAATGACAATCCAAATGCATTGCAACTGAAATACACATTACGTAAATTACTTTTCAAAAATAGTGTAATGCCAAGCGTAAATAGCAATACTTACGATAGTGACTATGACTGATTAACTCCAATTTTAGAGTTTAGGTCTCCTCAACGTGCAATGCAATTAGAGTCGATTGAACAAGAGAATGAAAGTGAAACATTGATTTCATTGATAAACAATGTCTCGCTTTCCGGTTATCAAAATAATATATTATATTATATATTACTTATAGGTTGTATTGTTAAGAATCTCCACAGTAAAATAACATGTGAAGAATGTCAAAATTTGATAAAAGACATAGGTAAAAATGTTGACCACTTATACACAATTGATGTTAATAAGCATTCAGCGTTTACTGCTTTTGTGAATAGAGGCATGCTATTTTTTCCATCACAATCTGTGTTCCAAGTGGTAAAGTTCACCGAAATAACATGTAAACAAATAGATTTAAACTCTATGAAACAGCACTATAAAAAAAGGATCATACAAATAGTAATGCAGCATTTTTATGATAAAATTTCATCTATGTTTCCACATTCTCTAAGCCAGGGTATTGATTGCGGAGACTTGCATAGTATTCAATTGCTAAAATCTATAATGATAAGTTTCCTGAACATGAAGATAAAGCACCATCAAAGGTCTAGGACCATGAAATTGCGGGATTCCAAGAATGTATCCCGACAAAAATTACATAAAACCATTTTGTTTAGTAACCTATAAATCTTTTAATAAAAAAAAATAGTAAAACTCGATGTTTTTTTTACCCTTAAAATTTATTTCGGCTAACCAGGAAGCCCATGTGACATGTAGGCTCCTGTGGTGAAACTGGTGTGGTAAAGATGGGTTCAAACCTAGCCACCTATTAGGCAAACATCGTGACTGAGAAGAAATTGAGTTTCATATAAGCCTAAATTCTATTAATAAGTATGCTTGGTTGAGTGTGATTTGTTTGATCGCTAAGGTTACCGTAAGGTTTGATACCGTAGCGAAGCAATATTACAATCAAAATAATAAACGAAGTTTAATTATAACACTTCAGCGCTTTACATATTGAAAAAAATACGAATTCTGTTTTCTGTAACTCTGTAAGTACATACTATTAATATCCTCAAAATATTGTATCATGGACACTCCATTAGAAAGAAACGGAGTGCCTAACTCGGTGCCTTTCATTCATTTCAAGGTCACCGATTTAGGACCGTTTTTCTAGTATGAAGTGCGCACGCGCTACATATTTTATTTATAACCTCCTTGGCAACAATTACGGTTTTATCCAAAGGCCTCAATTATGCTATAACTCCACGCAGATTACCGTACGAAGAAATTATCTGTAGTGTCGAGGACTGTTTATTTAAAAACAATATGCGGAAAGAAGATTTGGAGGCGATACGTCAAGACATTTCGTCTATGTTACGTCGATGTTCAGTGCCTAAACCGAATCTTCCCAATGACGAATTTATAGCGTTAAAGAACCCTACGCAATAAACCAGAACTTACTATTCTCCGCGCAGATAAGGGAAACGCCACGGTAGTCATGGATACGTCAGATTATAAGAACTGTTGTCGGATGTAAGTACTTATAAAAAAGGTTAAAAACGATCCAACAAATAGCACACTAAAAACAACTAGTGACCTCATAAAGAAACACTCAGAAAAATTAAATCTGGACGTAAAATGGATAATACCTATGTGCGCCAAATCACCAAAGTTGTGTGGGTTACCAAAAATATACAAGCCCAATGCTCCATTACGTCCCATAGTGAGCCAAATCGATTCATCAACTTACAGATTGGCTCAACACTTAGCGAAAATACTCTCACCGCTCAGGGGACATACAAGAGCACACATAAAGGATTCCTACCATTTTGTCAGCGAGATTAAAGACCTACGTCTGGCATACAATGAAACTATGGTCAGTTTTGATGTGCAGTCATTGTTTACATGCTTACCTGTTGAAGACTGCATCACAATTGTAAGGTGCACTGTGTGTAGAAGGCTGGAAGAAAACAACATGCCCGTAGAATATGCAGTATTACTCAGCACTGCCTTACATCTGACGACCTATTTTGGAAGGAGGAGTTCTACAAGCAAGTAGATGGTGTGGCGATGGGCTCACCTGTATCTCCCATTGTCGCCGACATATTCATGGAAGACTTTGAGGAGAAAGCCCTGCTTACTTCTCCCATAAATCCAAGATTCTACAAGCGGTACGTAGACGACACTTTCACAATTCTACCTTTAGATAAAGTAACTGCATTTTTAGACCATCTTAACTCTATAAATTCTAAAATTCAGTTAACAATGGAGTTAGAGGCAAACAATTCCTTAGCTTTTCTAGATGTGTTAGTAATTCGGAATCCTGATAACACCTTGAGCCATACTTTGTATAGAAAAAGTACCCATACAGATAGATATTTAAACGGTGATTATCACCACCATCCTTCACAGTTAGCTACCGTGAGTAAATCTTTGTTTCAGAGAGCACGAGGGATCTGTGACAGTAAACACCTGGCTGCCGAGCTCCAACACGTCAAGCAAGTTTTGCATGACAACAAGCTTCGGGTCCCGCGCCTACGACACAGAGAACGAATGAAACCGGCCACAGTCGAGCGTGTACCTGCTGTACTGCCATATGTTAGAGGAGTCACTGACAAGATTGGCTACATCTTGAAGCGGGATTCCATCAAAACATACTTTAAGCCGCCGAAGAAGATTGGTCAGTTTTTACCATCATTCAAGTGTAACGTCCCTCTGCAAGATGCAGGAGTGTACAAGCTTGATTATGAATGTGGTCTCTCCTACATAGGACAAACTAAAAGATCAATTAAAACCCGCGTTAAAGAACGTATAGCTGATGTGAAGAATCGACGCTCCGGGAAGTCTGCAGTCTGTGAACACGTACAGGATCGCCCCCCGTCACTACATCAGATTTGATAGACCACAAATCCTCGCTAAAGAACACCGATTCTTTCCAAGGATGATTCGCGAGGCTATTGAAATCAAAAAAACATCCTAATTTCAATAGAGAAGATGGCTGGGTGCTACCATTTGCTTGGGATCCTATAATAAATAAAATTAAATCCCAACCCAAGCATACAACTGCAAGACTTCATGATACCATAAGTTCATACTGTGTAGATCGGAACAAAAGTTAAATTTTAATCTATGGTAACCGCGGTTAACTATGAAATCTGGACGTTGAACATCTCAGTCCTTCCCGTGACCATGGGTGCTGTAAAGCTCTCGAAACGTCGGGTATTTAAAAAGTTAAATATACGCGATAAATTCCGTAAAAACTAGTATTATTTCAATGTGTAGTGTTCGCGTAAATATAAGAAATCAATATCTCATAACTTCGACAAATCACGATATCATCATAATATAGCATTAGTTCGAGCGTCAAGCAGCGAAGAGGAGTAACACAAGGCAAGGCATATGGTACTGCGACTGACGATCTTGGTAATATATAATGTCCTTTACGCCGAATTTTGGTCACACTGTGACCAGCCCTAACACAGATTAGCATTTGCGAAAAACACGACTATAGAGCACGGGTGTATACACAAACACCAGTGCAATCTATATTCTCTCACAACCATGGAACAAAAATCCTACACAGTCGAGGAAGATCTTTTGAAGGGGCTTTTTTTAGAATTTCTTAACAGAAAAACCCAATAACTGCAGCAAAGGATAATTATGGGAAAATGAAAAAGGAGAAGAGGAAAATGCCCCTTTAGACGTGATACGTAGCTACGCTGCAGCTACATTAGTTGTAGCACGAATGGGGTAGAACCACGCTCTCATAAAATACTTGAGCAAATTAGCAGCTTAAGGCTGCTGTGTTTCGTATGGTGAGTGTGGAATACCGAAGTCCCTTTCTACTGGATATAGGGGATTTCGCGTTAGTCCTCAGGGATGTCATATCTGCACTTATCATCAGATGGTCTGTATGCTCGTTTGTCATTCTTATTCTATAAAAAAATGCTGTATAATGGCAGCATAAGAGAATCGACTATAACAGGCAACACAGTGATATAAAACAAAACAGAAGATAGGCAGCAGCATCTTTCTGTCAACAACTCCAAAAAAATCTGCAGTCTTCAACTCTAATGCGTGGTAACAATAGCAAATACCTTCCCTATATGTTAGTTTGTGGGGAGGAGTATGTTCGGCAGTGGACTATTCATAGGCTGTAATGAGGATTATGATGAAAACTTAGAACTTACTCTATGCTACATAGTTCACTGTACAGTGACGGTGTAAGAATATCCACTATCCCATATCATTCTGAGGGTGTCGCAAGATGCGACAGAGGGAAACAAATCGGGAGATAGGGCGTCTTCCTTATAACGACTTAAAATAAAAAACTGTGATGACCAACCCGTTTGAGAAGCGTGGCAACTGTGGCAAATATCCCCTTATGGCAATCTAAGGTTGACGCCAATGTTCAGCTGTCGACTTTAATAGAATAGATAGAGATAATTAATAGAATGGATAGTAACGGTAAACGTAACAATAACAATATGTTACGAGTACATAGTGCAAGCTTGTGCTCAGATTAAGGTTAAATTCTTCTATCAATGTTTATCTAATCTAGACACAACTCCCGTATCCTGGATTCTCAAAGCGGCTCACAAAACTATACTAATCGTTACAGCCCTTCACAAGTCAGCTCCTGAGCCCCCTCAAAGTATGCCACTAAGCAAGGTCCTGAGCCACCCGTACCCATCAATTTCAAGCATATCTTTCCTGGTCGTCACTACATCTAGTGGGGGGCACCCTACACTACGATTACCGTTACGAGGCTGCCACTCAAGAACGTTTATTCCCTATCCGTTGTTGGGTAAATAATATAAAAATTAATTAAGTAAGGAACTAATATACACAATAGTGTTGTATCTAAGAATTTATATGTTTATACTCTACTTCCTTTATTACTTCCTTTTTAAACAAAGACATAAAATTCTTATAATTATTGTGCAACAGTAGCAACCAAAACAGTCACCAAGTCATCAATAGCTACAGCCACTTTGCTGTGGCATTGTTATTCTGCCGACACCTGGAACAAAATCACTAGTAGTCGTAAGGCATACCTAATTATATTATAATACTATCTTTAAATAAAAAAATTAAGGAAATAGAAAAAAATCTTCGACGCATACCGCGAACAAGACAAAATCATTTTTGGCTTCTGATTTTTTTTATTTTTTTATAGGATAGGGTGACGAACGAGCACACAGTCCATTTTGATGGTAAGTGGTTGCTGTGGCTTATAAACACCTACATCTATCCTCGATTACGAATCAAAATGCAGATGCGTTGTCACCCGTGAGACTAGATGGAATACCTCATTTCCAGCAAAAAAGAATCTCCGTTTCTCTACACTCACCATACGAAACACAGCAGCATTAAGCTACTATTTGATGCTGGTATTCTGTGAGAGCGTGGTCCTTCCCCAGGCGAGCCGATCCATTCGTGCTACAACTATACTACTAATATAACTGCAGAAAAATTTCTGAAAATTCTGAAAATGTTAAACTGTTAACCCATCCCGTACACAGTCCATACCTCGCACCATTCTTTATTTTCTCAAAAAAAAGAGAATTTTTCATGAGAGGTTTCACATGCTTACTAAGCCAAAAGAGGCTGCGAGCTTTCAACCAGCACGTGAAAAGCATGCCCTCAGACCAATGGTCCTTATGTTTTTAAGAATAGGTTGAACGAACGAAATGCTTAAAATGTAATAGAAAATACTTTTGAATGAAGTAAATATATTAGTTTACATATTATTTGTTTCATTTATGAGTTACTCAAAACTTTCATTGTATCCCAAGTACTACAAACTTATGTATTTCTACCAGCAAAGAACAGTACTTGCACTGCTGTGTTCAAGTCTGAAGGGTAAAGTTAAAAGTTAGTTAAAGTTACAGGCTACATACGCCCCACTGCTGGGCACAGACCTCCTCTCATTCCTGAGAGGTCTTTGGGGCAAGGGAATGGTCCGCCGCGCTCCCTCAATACTTTTTGGCGAACTTACATGTCTTCGAAATACTTTTTTTCTTATTTCTCAGCCGTGCAGGTTTCCTCACCATGATTTTTTTTCAACGCTAAGCACGTGGTAAATCTAGTAAAAATTTAACCCATCACTCTGATTACATTATGACATTACATCGCTATCACTTTGATGCCTTGATTAATCTTAATATATATAAATTACGTGTCACGTTGTTCGTCCGCGATGGACTCCTGAACTACTTAACCGATTTTAATTAAATTTGCACACCGTGTGCAGTTTGGTCCAACTTGAGTAAAAGGATAGTTTTTTTGCCCATGAGTGACCAACTATTTTTTTTTTTGCGAATTTAAGGATTTTTACGTCTAAACCGGCAGAACAACATCTGCCTGGCAAGCTAGTTATTATTGTATAAATTTCATACCGTCTAAACAATCATTTATTTAAATAGTAGCTATTAAGCTAAGCCGGAAATCAAATAGGAAAATAACGTTCTTTGTATGCTTTGCTAATTCCAAATAATACATTATATTTATCACAGAGTTGGAAGCAACATTCTTTGTTATGTAGTAAATGAAAACGTTGTTTTGAATCGTTTGTTATAGACTACCGTTTTATTGTCTTTTAAGATATTTATAGGTATAAAATAAAAATTTATAAAATATATGCGTGGTAAATACATGCTGCAGCTTATTACGGTTGTAGCAGAGAAGTGTCGGCTCGAACGGGGATTGACCATGCTCTCACAGAATACCAGCATGATATAGCATTTAATGCTGTTGTGTTTCGTTTGGTGAATGTAGAGAACCGGACACCCATTTTTACTGAAAACAAAGTATTTTGTCTTCGTTCTGAGAGACAACAGCGCATCTGCATTTTGAATCGTATTCTAGGATAGGTATAGATGTTTACGAGCCACAACACCCACTGACCATCAGGTGGACTGCGTGATCGTTTGTCACCCTCATTTTAAAGAATGGTTCTACTATATGAGTGTGAATTAATTTAAAATTGTATAGTTTTATTTATTTTGCTACTTTAGTAAGTTTAAAGTTTGTTTAAGTTGCAAGACGTTATGTATGAGTGAAAATACTGTAAGGTTACCTAAATATTTAACGAGATTTAGGTTCATGTGCACCGGGCATTCCACTTACACGCACTGAACAGACAGTAAATTCCCGGCCCCTCTATTATCTTTCTTATCACGAAAACGAGAGGACGCTTTTGTTTACATTCTATTACGTACCCTATCCAAGTTTTTATACATAGGTATATACTTCATTATTAGACTCCCCTAGGAGTCATGGTAGATACGAGATATAGAGGTCCTCCTGAAATATCATATTACATGAGCAATCCGGATCTTATCCCAACCATTAATAAAATTGTTAATTTTAATAAAACTATATTTACGGATATTGTCGCGTTTAATAACTTATTTTAACTTATTTTTAGTTTCCGACGTTTCGGGTGCTTTACATCGCCCTGGTCACGGGGGGACTGAGATGTTTGACTTCCCAATGTCATAGTTAGCCCGGCTACCTTCAGTTTTTGAATAGTAGATCGGATCAAAATTTAATATTCATATATTTCCTTTTCATTATTACTACTACTATTTATATACATTATATTCATAAATTGTGTGGGTAATTTACATCTTGTAGTAACAAGATAACCTACGGGATTAAATGGGGTGGTGGATATTCTCACGCTGCCACCACAGTAATAGTGAAATGCCACGTTACCTGTAAAAAGGTCTTCTTTTCTCTACATCTAGCTATACGAAGCTTAAGTTACAAAATAAATCCGCAGTCTGCAGCAGATTTCACAGCATACAGGAAACTGAAAAGACAGATCTTCTATTTTGATATTAATTTTACATCGATATTCATACTTTTTTTTTCAACTAATCCATAATATCGTCCCATGGGCGTCGTAAGCGACAACAGATGGAAGTAAATCAGGAGATGGACAGCATCGTTTTCCTTATAGAGACTGCTGGAAACTGGATGCTGGTGTAAGCTACAAAAATCACTTAACATTTGTTGTAATGATAGATTGTTTGTGACTTAAAGGCATTTAAGTAACTTAATGCTACTGTGTTTCGTATAGTATGTTGAGAACCAGATACCCTTTTAACTGGAAATTAGGCCTTTTAAATTTAAATGAGGAGATGACAACGCATCTGAATTTTGATTCTTGATTGAGAATAGATATAAATATATGCCACAGCATCCACTTATCATCAGACGGATGAGTGCTCGTTTGTCAACCTCTTACTACAAAAATCAATTCGAGTTTGCGCGATTGTAAATAGTGCTCTAATTTTATATATTATGACCTAGCCCAGAACTACTTTTGGATTTACGTTGCTTGTTCTCTGAAAAGTGTGTAATCACTTATATATTTAAAGCTAAAATCTGCTTATATAAAGCGTGTCTTACTAATACTATAACTACAACCCATCGCAAGTCCACAACTGAACATAGGCCTCCCCATAGATTCAAAAGTACATACCCGCCTTACGGGGACAAGGACGCACTAAGTCGGACTTGCACATGGAGAGGACACCCGTCTTGCCGGAGCCTACCAAGCACATATAGAAAGTGGGCTTGCCAAGCCCACTCGGAGTGGTTCTACCTTGATTGAGCCAGCCATTTGTGTTCGTCTTTGTTTACTGCGGTTGAGCTACGGCTACCAACCCAGCCATTCGGGATGTGGGGGGAAATGGTACGGTCCTGATCCAACTACATCAATCAACTTAAAACTAGAGAGAGTCGCACTGTGTTGCGCTTAGCCAGTATGAGGCTGCCACAGAACCTTTCCTCATCAGTTGTTGGTTTTTCATGCTGTGTAGCCGGCCCATTGCCACTTCCGCTTACTGATCCGCTGGGCTAGTAGATTACTCTAGCTATTTTGCGGATATCCCTATTTTCACGTAGCAAAATTCTTAGTAAACCTTTCCGTCTCAAGCTGAGTGACTTTGAGCATCCTCCAATGGTCACATTTTGGTGGCATTAGGTATCCCTGGTGACATAAAGCAAGTACTTGAGCATTTTTCCACAGATAAGTACATTTGTCCTCATCAAACCTAAGTGCATTTATAAACTAGCGTTTCGTTATGCGTAAAGCAAAGGAGTGGAATGATTTGACAGCCTCCTTCCTTCCATTAGATTACAGTGTGGTTGTCTTCAAGTGAATAAGTTTGTGTTAAGATAGCTTACCATCTTAGTTTGCATCACTACTTACCAACATTTGGGAAATGAGGCTGGAATGAAATGGATTAGAATTGTTAAAAAATTGTTTTAAAAATAATTGTTAAAAATTACTCAGGCTCACAGCGGAAAGCAGCACTTAAGGTCCAAGGCCAAAGAAAATCTGTAGCTTCAAGGTCAATTTGCCTCCTAATAAAAATTAAAGGACCATGTCCAGCTGTGAACTGTTTCATCCGATGGTGAACATCAGAGAGAAAAAAAATAATGTTATTTTCATCGAAGTATGCAAGCTGAATAATAATAACATTTGCCTAGATAGAGAGATGTTCAATACGTACATATTACGTATTCAGGAAGATTGTTGACGATGACATAGATTCCATACGTGCTCAATTGTATGACGCGCGTCCATTGTTTTTATTTAATTTAAGTGAATTAACAAATTAACAGCCTACATGCGTGGTAGTGACAAAATTTGACTTTTAAAATATATTAACCACAATACATATAGCTTCAGCATGGCTTTACGTGGTAGAGCCATGCTATAGCTATATTGTGGTTGCAGCACGACTGGGTTGTCTCGACCGGCGTAGGTCCACGCTCTCACAGAATACAAGCATAAACAAGCAACGTAATGCTGCTGTGTTTTGTATAGTAAGTGTAGAAAACTGGAGTCCCTTTTTAGTGGAAACGAGGCATTCCATCTCAGTCCTCAGGGGTGACAACGCATCTGCATTTTGATTCTTAATTGAAGATAAATATAGATGTCTATGGGCCACAGCATTCACTTACACGTCCAATTCTAACAACATTTTAGTTTACTAAATATATTATAGGTATTGTCAGTCGGGATCAAACTCGGGTTCGACCCGAAACACGAATGGGAAACCTTTTTAACTGGTACAATGCACTCCACCCTAGTCAACGCGTGCGCACTAGCATTATTTTTTCTTAACCGGAGGCATACGTAGGTGTTAATGGGGCACAGAATTCACTTACGAGTACACTAAGGGTGGCCTGTATATTCGTTCGCCACTACTTTAAGAAAAAAATATAAGCTTAATAAAACCGTCTTGCACCGCATTTGTCATTGTAAGTGTACCTGTAATTGATATAAACATTTATCTCAGAGTAAACGTTAAAAGTTATTTAATTTATATTTTTTACCAAAAAAAAAAAAAAAACAAATTTCTTTGAAAACGTTTGTTTACATTATATCATTATTATCATTTTTATACGTGGTGTAACCATGCTCTTGTACGTTTCTATGTGGTAGAGGTATCACGCTATATTTTAATACAGCAAAAGTAATTGTTTGGTTGTGAAAACAGCCTTAAAAAACCTTAATGCTGTATTTGTTCCGGTGGGTGAAAAGTACCGCAGACTCTTTTTTACCCTGGATGCCTTGGTACCGATGAAACTCGCCTTGGTTCTAGGGGGTGACAACGCATCTACATAGTGGTACTTGAGTTTATCAAGGATAGATGTGGATGTCTGTAAGCCGCTCCAACCATTTACCGTTAGCTCGACACGGTTTCATAATAATGATTTCGTATATTTACGCAAACATTACACATTAAATAAAACCACTTTTTCACGTGGATTTTATCGCGTCTATATTATGTATTTATGATAAAATCTATAAAAGTAGTTTCATTCATTGTGTAGTGTTCGCGTAGATATAAGAAATCTTGAATAAGAAACCCTTAATTTTAATACATAAAAAAGTCAAAGTTACGTCCCAACGCTGGGCATAGCCTTCACTCATTTCTGAGAATTTTATGAAGCAATACGTCCATTTAGCACTGCTCCAGCGCTTGTTGGTCATAGATGATGTTGGTTGATTAATAAGATGCATACTGTATACATATTCAAAATATGTAAAATCACAGAACACAGATAGTCTAAGGGTGAAACAATGGAAACGCGTTACAGAATTCAAATCAATAAACAATACGATGTATAATCCTGACGTATTTACATAATCTATTAGATTATATTATGTATACACATTACTTATTTTATCTCCTAATATAAGCAAAATTGGTCGTCGGTGAAAAACAAAAAATTTTCACCGACGTGTAGTAGCGGCGTAGATGAATTCATCGCACTATTTCTTCGCGCGTAAATATCTCAAAGACGAAGGTAAATATTTTTTATAGGATAAGGGTGACAAAGAAGCACACAATCCACCTGATGATAAGTGGATGCTGTAGTCATGTGTGGCCATAGACTACATTTAACCTTTATTAAGAATCAAAATGCAGATGCGTTGTCACCCTTGAGGACTGAGATGGAATACCTCGATTCCTGCAAAACGGTGTGGGTTTTCTACACTCACCATACGAAACATAG